TCTAGAAGCACAAGTAAGCTGTCCGCAAAACAGTCAAAAGGCAGCTTTCGTACTAACTTCGCGCCTTTTGTTCGAGGCCTTCCCGAACTCCAATTCTTCATCCAATTCCTTCCCTTTGTTCACAAACATACCTAGTTTCATGTTGTAGAAGCCTTTGGACTTGAATCAGATCCATACTCCTCGAATTAAGCTCTAAAGTAGGCTTCGCAAAACAGTTTCCAGACTTGAACCATTTTCTGGCAGTTTTCCAATTTTGAGGTAGCAACTTTGAGGCCTTGGAAAACAACCTTAATGACATCATCTGGATCCACAAAGTATACCATTGGAAAGATGGTAACTTTATCTGCAAAACAAAATCTTATAATTGAATTTCAACCAAGCCTATTGAGAGAACCATGCCTCCAAAGTATGTACCCTGAACACGGATTTTGACTTAGCCAAATTCTGCCTTTCTTCTTCCCAACTTTGATAGCTTCTTTGTCAAGTAATTGTGACGTGAATTGTGAGCTATTTGGGATCATATCACGTACCTCTAGAACGTACCAAGACTAGATTGGATGACCTGGGACGCCGATCTCCTTATCGATCGATGATCGAACCCTCAAACGTCAACGCATACGCTATTGTACAAAAATACGAGTTTCGAATTAGACTATCGATGAATCGAGTTTGGAATCGTGAAAGAGTTCGTGATCCTTACCTAGAACGAAAGGGATGTGATAGGGGTCAGGGTGGGGAGTCGCACTCCCTTTTTTTTCTTTTTCTTCTCGCCGTTCGGGGTTGCTGGGGGTTTGCGGTGGTTTGAATTGCTGGGGAAGCATAAATTGAAGGGGAAGGGTTTGTTTGTTGGGGAAGAGGTTTGGGAATGGGGGGTTTCCTGGAGAAGTGGCCGCTCGGCCCTTTCCCATGTATTTATTATTTTTTTATATAATAATAATAGTTAAATTATTATTCCTTATTCGCGATTGTAAACATTCATACTTAATCGTTAACCCAACCGTTCACATATTACGATCGAACCTGAACCCAAAGGTCGGGGTGTTACATTTCCTCCACCCTTATAAAAATTTCGTCCCTGAAATTTGCTCGGAACTCGTCCTTCCATCAACACCCTTCTTGTTCTTCCTTCCCACAATCATCTATTCTTATTATAACAACTTCGTTGGTACCCTTTGCTCAAATAAGTTTCCTTAGCTTGCAGCACTCGTGTAACCATAAGTGCCTCACTGCCCTTTTTACTCCTCAGCTTGATCCAAAACGTGGTGAAACAAAATGCCAATTTGGCTTGTCATGTTGATCCAATTCTCTTGGTAGTTGATGTTGAACCTAAATCCCAAATCGAGACATCAAATTTCCCCCCACCTTAAGAAAAATTTCGACCTCAAAATTTGTTCGTTGTGATGACTCCAAGTATCACTTGTGATAATCTCTTTACAAGGAATTGTACCTCCTCCTAGCCTTGATGTATTGATCTCATGACATCTTGTCAGGCTCCCTGTGACTTACTTAGTTACTCCTTTGCTTTACTTAAGCGCCCCTAGCGTTGCTTAACGTGTAACTTTTCACTACTCCTTGGGTCGTAGCCCTACGTTTGATTCTCGCGAACGTAACGACCCTTTCTTGCCTCTTTTCCTCAATTTGTTGGCCGCCATTTTCCGTAACTCCCTGACTACTGCCTGTCAACTTCCTACATACTATGCATCTTTCTGAACCTTATGCTCAGCTCGCATCCCCGTAGGGTAGGAGCTGCTTTGGACAACCTCTTCTTGATCATGAAAAGAGTTCACTAAGCGATCCTCCTAGGAATCTCCTCCTCTCCTTCCCGAGACATATCTAACCCCGTCGAGCATCCTAAAGTTATTTCCTTATCATGATTAGAGTATACTGAAGACTCTAAAAATTCCCGAAAGAATTTTACTCATTTGGCCAAACTTTTAACAGACACCCCCTTTTTCCTTTCCTTTAAAAATTGACCCCTTGAAAAACGCAGATCGTCACTCCAGTATTCCTTGGAGGCCAAGGAATAGAGGAGTATCGGCTCTGATACCAAAATGAAATAACCCACTTTTTTTCGAAAACCAAACCATAACTCAAACCAAAAACTGATTACTCCGGAGCAACCCAAACAACTTTTTAAAATAAATAAACAGACAATGTTTAAGAATTTCAAACAAAAAGCCTGAACACTTGGGCAAATGACAATATCAATACTTAAAATGAATGAACTCAGAATCTCCAGTTACACTCCTAACCATATAACAAAGAAATTAAACTATTCTAGCTCTGACTCTTCACAGGTTCCTTGACTTCACATCAATGCTGGTGCAGCTACTCGCCTCGCCTTGCCTCTTCTCGAAATCCGCCTCTGCTAACCCTTCCTCGACCTGGTGAGTGAGAAGGGGTCAGTCTCGTCGTTACTTCCTAAGGTCTTTGCCCTAAACAAACTTCCTAATAACACATTATTAGAGTTTCCTTCCTAGCACGAAAGCCATTCTCGCTTTCTGCTCTTAAATACTCATCCTTACTAAAACACGTTATTCGGGTTGTTGACTTAGACAAAAGTCGTTCTCGCTTTCATCCTCAATAACTTATTTCAACATCAACTCACACAAGCTCTCGACTTCTATCCTTAACTAAACACAAAACACTCTGACCACCGTGTTACGTCTCGCCGTCCGGTGTCCTACCCTAGTATGCCAACCGCGTTACGTCTCGTTGTCCGGTTGCATACCCAAACTCGGCAATGACACTGTGTTACGTCTCGTCGTCCAGTCCATGCCCCCTCAACTACTGGGTTACGTCTCGCCGTCCAGTAGTGACCCCAACATACTCGATCAACTGTTGCGTTACGTCTCGCCGTTCAGCAGTGATCCGACCATCTACCGCGTCTAGTAGTGGCCCAATCGCCCGGGGGTACATCTTACCATCAACCAGCTATTACAATCTCAAATCCATACATTCATACATAGCACAACATGTTCCTCCACCCTTATAGGCGGTGGGATGCCTCACACACATATCGCGCATTACTCAAAAAAATTAACTAAATAATAACTTGAACGAAAAGCATAAACTAAAAGACCTACGACAAAGATTTTGCCCTCTTTACACTCACCTCGAAAATTTGACTCCTCGATTCCTTCCTCGAAGAAACCCCTCCTTAGCCGGATTGTCTTGGGGTAACCTATTAATAAGAATCCGTTTTCTTTAACGACTTTTCTCAATTTAAAACCCCTTTTTATTTACCCAAACACCCTCTCCTGAAAGTCCCATCATCAAACCTCACTTCAAAGATCCCTTAACCTCCTTTAACAATTTTTCTAGAGATAATCCCTTCAAAATCAACCATTTTTCCTAATTAATTTTGTCTTGAAATAAATTTTCATCTAACTTGAACCTTCTTAAAAATTTGAATAATAATTTTTTCATGTCAATAATGCGAACAAGTACCATGAAAAATTATCAAACTCAGGAAAATCCATCGGCAAAGAATTTTATTTAACTAAAATGTACATTCAAACAATTTCTAAAAATAGTAATACATCTTCAAAATCCACAAATTAAATTAGAGACATCTCCTAGACATCCCTCAATTTATAAAATTGCTAAATCCAGAAAACATCACAGAAAGGGGCTAAGAATAATTTAAATATCTTAAAATATGCTTCTGGAAATTCCTGGCAGGTTTAGTGACCACCCAAAATCTGTCACTAAAAGCCTATAAAGTCTGCTGCTAAAAACCCAGAATTGCACCCTCAGGAAAAATCCCCAAATTAATCGACCTATCCCAAAGGGATCGAGTTTCCTTACCTCTAGAACGTGCATAGGACTAGATTGGATGACCGAGGACGCCGATCTCCTTATCGATCGATGATCGAACCCTCAAACGTCACCGCAAACGCTATAGTATAAAAATACGAGTTTCGGATTAGACTGTCGATGAATCGAGTTGAAATCGTGAAAAGGTTCGTGATCCTTACCTAGAATGAAAGGGATGGGATCGGGGTCAGGGTGGGGAGCCGCACTCTCTTTTTTTCTTCTCGCCGTGCAGGATTGCTGGGGGTTTGCGACGGGTTCAATTGCTGGGGAAGAATAAATTGAAGGGGAAGGGTTTGTTTGTTGGGGAAGAGGTTTGGGAATGGGGGGTTTCTTGGGGAAGTGGCCGCTCGGTCCTTTCCCATGTATTTATTATTTTTTATGATAATAATAGTTGTTGTTATTATTATTATTATTATTATTATTATTCATAATCTGCGGTTGTAACCCTTCGTACGTAATCGTTAACCCAACCGTTCACGTATTACGGTTGAAGCTGAACCCAAAGGTCGGGGTGTTGCACCTGATGCAGTTATGAGTATGAACGGGCGTAGAAGGCAATCGTTCCTCCAGATTTTCATGGGCCGTCAGAAGCACACTGAAGATCGCGCGACGTGTGGTGCTCTCCCGGTCGCTGGACCTTACCACCAACTGAGTCGTTTCCATGGTAGATGGGTCGTTAAACAAAAAATATAACTTTTCCCGAGGCCATGCTGGCATCTCTGGACTCTCTAATTTTGTTGTTAGTCATCGCGTCTCGATTTAGGAATTTTAACCCGATTCCCTTTCGATGCTCGAGCGTGTGCGCTCTTTTGAACGAGTTTCCCCCGTCTCTTAGGATCGACTAACCCATGTGCAAGTGTCGTTGGGCCATGACTTTACCTTGTACTCTACAGACGTATTATTTTATTTGGATGCGTCGCCTAATTTTTTCTAATGACAAGCATGCTCCTCCATTTATAGTTATGATTAACCTCTTGAAATAAAATAAAATTTTAAAATAAAAGCTTTTAATTGACTGAAATTAGTAGCATGGTGGTAAAAAAATGTTAGCACCCTAACCTTAACCTCTATGGTATTGTGCTTATAAGCCTAGCACACCAGAATATCGAACCATGAATGAAAAAAAGGCATGAGTGAAAAACATATTGGCATATATAGTGATTGCAAAGCCCCAATTCTTAACTGGAGGGGACACCAAAGGCCTCCGCGCTTCCATCCCTTGGATCAATATAGAGAAAGGGCAAAGTTTTTGGTTTTTTCATATTGTCAAATAATTTAACATTAAAAATAGATGGCGAGTACCTAATCGAATTGATGAGGTCATGAAAGAACAAGATTCTAGCTAAACCGCTCCAAACCGAATTCAGATATCGTTTACCACTTGGATTTTGGAGAACAGTTCTCCATCTTACATCTAATGGTCCATAAAAATGGGCCATTAAATTAAGGGTCAAGATTTGTTGGTAAAAAGTAGTAGTGCAGAGTGAGGTAAGCAACTGAAAAGGAGCTGACAAAAAGCTGATTTTTCGGGGCCCACGAACTGAAAAGGAGCTGATACAAGAGAGAGAGAGTAGTGAATGCAAGTTCTTGAAAATGCTGAATATGATTTCTGTTTTGTACAAATATGTTTTGTGATCATTAGCAATATGTTTTATATTTGATAAAAATATGGTTTTTAATGTGTGGTATATTATTTTGAATAAGAGTTGCGAAAATTACAAATATAGAAATCACATATATGGAATATGTTCTCTATTCAATGCAAATATCATATTTTGTTTAATACGAGTATGATATTCTAATGTGTATATTTGTTCAGTACAAATACGTATTTTGTTCAATACAAATATGTATTTTGTTTATTTTAGTTCAACAAGAATATACATATATCGCTTGTAAATAGTATGTATAAGGTATATTTTGTTAAAAAATAAATAGCTCAAATATCAGCTACTTTTTCAATTTACGGGTCTCATAATCCACTATCTATTACTCTAAGAGATCTGGAATTTAATTTAAAAGCCACTTTTGTGGGCTCTTTAATGAGAATGGAGAATCATTCTCCAAAATTTAAGTGGTGGACCATATTGTGGTTCCTCCAAACTGGGCACATCCGTATGTTGTAAGTACTTGTAACCCTTCCTAAGGAACCGAAGCCTGCGATTGGGTCAGCGTAAAGCCCAAATTGGTAGAGACTAGGGAGGGCGTCTGTCCGGTTTGTTTATTTGAGAACTTGAGATTAGGGATGGCAACAAAACCCGAACCCACGGGTACCCACACGACCCAACCCGGTCAACGCGGGTAAAATCCGTGTTGACGGGTTTTGGCCGGGTTTGGGTTTAAACCCGTTCACTATTCATCGGGTTGGGTTGAGTTTGGGTTTAGGTAAACCCGATCCGTGGGTACCCGCCCACACCTATATAATTAATTTGAAAGGAAGAAGCTTTCAATTAATCATGTTATATATGGATAATTTGTGATTTGCTTCAATTTTCTTGAGTTTTCTAAATTGGTGTTGAAAATTTTGTATAGTTAATTTGTGATTTTCTTGAGTTTTCTAGAATGGTGTTTTATATATGGATAATTTATATTGAGAGATTGATATTTGACTTTAATTTTGATAGAAACTTGTTACTGTAAATTTTTACGACAAAAACCCATGGGTACCCATGAACCCGCAGATACCCAGCGGGTTGGGTTGGGTTTGAGTTTTTGAAACCCAATTAGTTTTATCCTGGATTTTTTTCAAGGATAAACCCATGGGTTTGAGTTTGGGTTTTGCAGAACCCGACCCAACCCGACCCATTGCCATCCCTACTTGAGATCCATCTCCATCCCATCCCATCCCATCCCATCTCATCTGTCGAAGCGAAGAGAAGAGAGGATTGAGCGCCCGTGATTGCAAGGATCAGGAAAAGAGGAATAGAGAAAAGATGGGGAAGCAGCCAGTGAGGATGAAAGCTGTGATTTACGCGCTCTCCCCTTTCCAGCAGAAGACGGTTTCCGGTCTCTGGAACGATCTCCCTTCCAAGATCCACCACAAGGTCTCCGAGAACTGGCTCAGCGCAACCCTCCTTCTCACCCCTGTCGTCGGCGTGTACTCGTACTCCCTCTCTCACTTCTTTCCTCTTTCACATTTCTTCTTGGTTTTGTTTGCGTTGATGTTTCTTAGAAACCCTAGTTCTTGGTTGATGCCGATAATTTTTATTAGAAAAGGTCTGAGCAATTTTCGTCAAGATTGAATTTAGTGCTGCCGGTCTCCCCTTCGCTTTCAGAATTCCGTATCTCCTTTGGCGTTTTCTTTTGTGTAGTTTGGTTTTGAATGTGATATAGTGGAAGCGAAGGTGATCTGGAACTCTGTTTTATGAGATTTGTCGTTTGGGTTTTGAATGCGACGTAGTGTGGTTTCGTGGGTCAAGGTTCATTGTGCGTGGATCTTAACCTTTGGATCAGTTCTTCAACCTTGCCTTCTCTGAGTTTGTGGTTGTAGCTTTGTTTGCGACCATCTCTATTGAGTGTTTTTGTGTGCTCGTACGCCTTGGCATTCTCTCTTTCGTCTTTCTCCCAATGCCTCCTTGAACATAATGGTCTCCGAATACCAAGTTCCAATTCACCTTAATTGTGGAACAGATTGCATCTTTGTATGTATTTAAGCTACCTTTCATCTTGGTTATCTTAATCACTGAATTGAGAACGATGAATTTTCTCTTCTTGGGGAATTATGAGTTCTTTCCGCACCTTTTAGTTGGAAGAGCTACCTTCAGGGGTTCCAGCATCAAAGGCTACTTCAACTATTTGAATAGTATGTCAAGAAGAAATGATTGTTTGCAGGCTGTAAAAAAACATTCCACACTGTGAACGCTCTTATGTATTTCCTTTTGGTTTCCAACGCAGTGAGTTCCCAAGATAAATTATGGAGTTGTCTACTTTAAAGGAAAGAATATTTTGCTTTAAAAGTTATATTTATGTTATGAATATATCTTTATGGAGTTCCCAAGTTTCCTCTTCTTCCTTGCTAGACATACAAGTGATGAAATGCTTTACTATTCTCTGTTGTGTGGTTAGCAACTGTTCTATTTATGTTATGAATAAGATAATATTGTTACGAAATAGAAATTGTATACTAACTAACTAGGTGTATGCTGCTCTCAATGTGGTTATCAGCTCCGTGTCTAATCATGCACATCTTTTATTTCATGTTTATGAACAGGTATGTCCAGCACTACCAGGAAAAAGAGAAGTTGGAGCACAGGTACTGAGCTAAAGCTAAAGCATGTGGTGGAAGAAGTCGTTTCCAGTTGTTTCACCTTTGCTAAATAATTTTCCGAGATGAGAACTTTGCTTGCGCAGTGGTTCAAAACCCATTTTCTTTATATGAATTACTCTGATGTTCAGCCGTCCTTTAGGTCTGTTTTGCCTATGAATTGTGGGTGTGGCAAGGATGGTCCTATTTTAGGTACAACCGAAGTGGAATATCATGAGTTGTCTCCTTTGAATTTGATTGGAATGCAATGAATGGTTTGATCTGAGGTTCTACTATGAAACCTGTGAAGCAAGGCTAGCACTTCTTCTATGTTTTAAGTTATTGGTGCCTTAAAGTTATATTGTACCACAAGGAAATTTGACCTTTTATAAAATTAAAGTGCAATTTTAGTTCGTACCATAAAGAGATTTTACAAAAAATATAGTGTAAATGCCATGATTGGTCATTGAGATTACTAAAAAATGTCAAGTTTGGTCACTAAAAATATTTTATTCTATTCGTTATCACTGAAATTACTAAAATGTGTCAAGTTTGATCACTATCCACCCAACTCTGTTAACTTTTGTTTATGTAGCAGTCAACTTTTTAAATTGATCGTTAAATATATGCGTGACAATTAAATAATAATAAAATATTTCAAAATTTCCACCTCGTTATTTTCATCATTAAAAAATAAAAATAAAAAGCGCGATGATTTTCCCACTCCGGCCGTCCTCTCAAAAAACCCTTCCGGCTTAGCGGTCTTTGAAGAGTTGGTGGAATCATCAGGGACTGGAATGATCCATTTCTTCGTGAGTTTGCATGCAAGGCGGAGGAAGCTGAATCTCGAGCGATCTTGACAGGAATTGATGTGGCGACGAGAAAAGGGATCTCATCGAGAATCCTGCCATCATGTCCTACTCCTGAGTTTGTTATTAAATACGTGACACGTGACAATCGAGAGAAGAAGAAATCTTAATGACAGAGGAAACACACCATTCTCGCTTTACTCGTTCCTTATAAAATCGGTTGGGTTCATCTCCTGAACCACCATGAACAGGAAGCAACCCTCCCCTGAAGAAAGCTAGCAAAGACAGAGTGACACAGGAAAAAATGGGAGAACTTGTTGAAAGATCAAACTGTAACAGAAATGACAAACGGTGATTTATGTGGTATCCCTGGATGATCCAAGACTAATCCACGGAGGAGTATGAAGACTCCTCAGCTACTGATGTATTGATGATAATCGTATGCTTGTTACACTTTTCACTGACGGCAGACGAAGCTCCTATATCACAAGCTTGGCCGAACCCTAGAGCAATTAGGTTTCTACGTGACTCTCCTAATGCTCATGGGCTGCATGGGCCTTTAATGAGCCAATGGGCTAAACCGAGACTCTACGTACACTACTACTACACTACACTATAACGAGACTACATATATAATCAACAGCCTCCCCCAAATTGATGCGTGTCGTAGAGCATCAATTTGCTAGATAGAAACCACTTAAAATGACTTCGTGAACAGATCCGCAACTTGATCTTTTGTATGTATGTAGTGTAGTGTGACTCTACCATCTCATACCATATCCCGGACGTAATGCACGTGAATCTCGATATGCTTAGTTCTATCATGAAGCACTGGATTCGCTGCTATACGTATAGCACTAGTGTTATCGACCATTAGCTCCGTCGGCAAAGAGCAGGAGATTCCCAAATCAGTAAGTAACCGCCGCATCCAGACCAACTATGAAGTAACGTCAGACATAGCTCGGTACTCGGCCTCTGTAGATGACTTGGATACTTTATCTTGCTTCTTGCACCGCCATGAAACAAAAGAACCTCCATACTGCACACACCAACCAGTAGTAGAACGTCGAGTATCTACACAGCCTGTGTAATCAGAATCAGAATATGCCCGAAGCCTTGTATCCCCACTTGAAGAGAAAAGAATCCCCATGTCCTTAGTCCCTTGCAAGTACCTCAAAATCCGATGAACAGCGCTAGGTGATTTGCACTCGGATTTGACATAAACTGACTTATCAATTGCACTACATAAGAGATATCCGGTCGGGTTGCTGCCAAGTATATTAAGCTCCCCACAATGCTGCGATATTGCGATCCATCTTTAAGAGGCTCACCCGACTCCCTACCAAGCTTCAGATTAAGTTCCATAGGTGTAGATACAGGCTTGCAGTTCTCAAAGTTATGATCGTGCAATAGATTAGTAATATACTTCTTTTGACAAAGAAGTATCCCTTTATCACTTCGAGAAACTTCCAACCCAAGGAAATAAGACAACAATCCCAGGTCCTTAATACTGAAAGCATCCCAAAGCCCTTCTTTTAGTCGGCCTATTCCCAAAGAGTCAGATCCAGTAATAACCATGTCATCAACGTATAGAAGAAGAATAACAATACCTCTAGAGGAAGTCTATGTAAAGAGAGAAGGATCATTCAGACTTTGACTAAACCCCAGTTCCACCAGCTTTGACTGAAACTTCTCAAACTAGGCTCTCGGTGCCTGTTTGAGACCATATAAAGAACGATGGAGCAAGCAGACTTGACCAGGCTTTCCAACATGATATCCTGGGGGTCGTTCCATGCAAATAACTTCATCCAGATTGCCATGTAGGAATGCATTCTTGACATCTAGTTGAAGAAGAGGCCAATGCCTCTGTGCAGCAACCGCAAGCAATACCCGAACAGTTGACATCTTTGCCACACAGGAGCAAAATTCTCATAATAATCAACCCCCTGCTCCTGTGTGTATCCAAGAGAAACAATGCGTGCCCGGTAGCGTTCGATCGTCCCATCGGGGTGTACTTTGATAGTGTATACCCAACGGCTCCCAACAGTAGGTGTGTCTGGTGAAGGACGATCAACCACTGTCCACGTATTATTGGCGTGCATGGCATCAGTTTCAGTATCCATGGCAGCCTCCCATAATGGATTTCCTTGAGCTTGCTTGTAAGATTGTGGAATTTGAACTGCAGCAATGTTGTGGGCGACGTAATCGTGGTGCCGTGGATGAGGAATTCCCTGAGTCAAGCGTAATGAGCGGCGTAGTTGTGGCTGCTGATTTGCCGCTGGCGGTGATGAAGTGGAAGCAGGACCAGATGAGGTTGACGATCCTGGGCTGGCAATGGATGGCGAGGAGTGGCCTGTTGATGATCCGGGGCTGGCTGTAGAAGGTGATGTGGGAGGTGGAGAGGCCATATCATCAGGAGAGAGCAGCAAATGATCATCGGCTGGTTCATCATCATAGGGAAATAAAGGCAGAGACTTGAAACCAGGAAAAACTAACTCTGGAGAGGACGAACGCTCAAAAAATGACAAATTTTCAAAGAACACTACAGTGGCAGCAATCCTAATACGCTAGGTAGTGGGATCATAACACATATAACCTTTATGAATGTCGCTATATCCTAAAAAGGCACAACGGGCAGTTTTGGAGGCCAGTTTAGTTCGTTCTCGTTTAGAAAGAAGAACAAAACACATACAGCCAAAAACACGGAGACGAGAGTAATCAGGATGACGCGAGTATTGAGCAAAGTATGGACTAATGTTACCTAGAACTATCGTAATTTGGTAATTTATCAGTTTTACTGCCGTGGCCATTGCTTCAGGCCAGAAACGACCTGGGACCGAGGAAGCGAGCAGTAAAGCTCTGGTAAGTTCCAAAACATGACGGTTTTTACATTCCACTAGTCCGTTTTGCTGAGAAACACCGAGACACGATTTTTGACACAGAATACCACGATCCCGATACACCTCACGCAATGGGAATGAACTAAAATCCCCTCCAGGATCAGAACGTATTATTTTGACTGTACGACCAAAGTGGGTTTGAATCATGTTAAGAAACTCAATAGCTACTGCACGAAGTTCGGATTTGAGACGCAACAAATATATCCAGGTGAAACGAGTAGCATGGTCAATGAATAACGCAAAATACCAAAAACCATGTCTACTAAGAATAGGTGAAGGTACCCAGAGATCAGTGTGGACAAGATGAAATGGGTCTTTTATGACAGTGACACTAGAAGGAAATGAAATACTGATAGTTTTAGCTTCTACACAGCTTTTACAAGAATGAGAACCTGAAATCCCAACATTGTTTTTGCCAAGCAGAGACTTTTGAAACATAAGAGACAGCCGATTAGTATGGGAATGCCCTAGCCGTGAATGCCAGAGATCCCATACATTATTCGAAACACTAGAAAACGCAGAACAAGGACTACTGACAGACCTACGATCATGACTACTAACATTTGACGAAACAGATTGCCCATTCAATTCCTCTAAATGAAATAGCCGACCATGCTTACTCCCCCTTCCGATTGGCCTCCCCGTCTTCAAATCCTGTACAACACACCCAGACGGAGCAAACACCACAGAACAACCCTGCTCAGTAAGCTGTCCAACCGAAACTAGATTTGGTACAAGTTGAGGAACATGCAAGGTATTACGTAAAGATGTAGAATCAGTGACCACATTGCCTACTCCACGTACTGTCAAATTTTCTCCATTAGCAACAGTCAATTCCATGCCATTAACCGGTTGCATATTTTTTATCTCATCTGATTTCGGAGTCATATGATTAAAGCAAGCACTATCAAGGAGCCAAGGTGCAGAATTACCTGATCCTTGTAGAGTTGCGAAGGCGGCACTAATGGCAGTTGGAAGCGAACGCTGCAATGCGGCATTTACCATTTGCTCAACTGTGTCTGCCGACATCCCTGAGCTGCTGCCCACTTCAGCTTGAGGAGCATTATTCTCGGCATATGGTGGACCAAAACCAGGAAGCGCAACAGCTCCCCAATTGCTGTGATAGTCGGGCAGGTAAGCTCCATATGCTGGCCGTTCTCCAAATCCAGCTCGAGGTGCACCTCCTCCCTGGAGATCACCATTCCGACCACAACGAGCTCCTCCTGCTGCTTGAGGCGCTGCCCAACGTGCCTCATTACGTTCCCGAGACCTGCACTCAAGAACAATATGTCCCATCCGCTTGCAATAGACACATACGTTTCGTCGTTTGCAATGCTTTTGCAGGTGTCCCTTTTCCCGGTAGTGGTGACACTCCAATTCCGTCGCTGGCAATCTTCTTTGGAACCGAGGTCGCTCGACAGCATAGGCAAATTAATTCAAACCAGCGTTTCTAGTCCCGGGAGCAGCTGCTGCCACTAGAGTTTCACCCTCGCCTGGTCGTTGGTCGATCAATGCTTGAGTCCGCATCCTCGTCTCCTCCCGAACTAGAGTCCCCAGTACACCATCAAAATTCAGGACCTCTTTATTGAGAAGAGCTGAACGTACAGCCTCAAAATTAGGCCTCAGGCGCATTAAAAACTCCAAAATTCTGGTACGTTGCCTCTCCTCAATTGCATCATCGGACATCTCAGCATTTGGCCTTAGTGCAACGTGAATCAGGTCTTGTTCGGTCCACAATTCTTGGGCTTGATTGAAATATTCAGTCACTGCTTTATTGCCTTGTTCCAAGCGTGCAATGACCATCTGTATCTCAAACTGACGGGCTGGATTAACAGTAGAATACAGAGCTCTCAAGTGCCTCCACATCCTATTAGCAGTCGAAAATAGTCTCAAACTCAGACACGTAGTCGCATCGACGCTCTCCAGCAGCCATGACCGCACACGTTGATAGCATCGTATTTGCACGTGTTTTCACTCTGGTTTCCTGTCCATTTTAGCTTGAATTGATGGTTCCTTGGCCTATTTTACGCTAGGTTGTGTTGTTTTGTCGTATTTCAGGTCCTAGCAGGTAAAGAGGTGCATAGGTGCAAGTTTCGGGTCATTTGGAGGTCAGATGGTGATTCACAGGCCAAATTACGGGCAGCCCCTGCCAAATTACGACCGTAATTGGTCAGGGCATGCCCGTAAAACAAATGCCGAGCCACTTTCCCAAGAATTCTTCGTGGCAATAAAATTACGGGCAAGCATCCACCAAATTACGACCGTAATTAGAGAAATACTGGCAGTAATTGGAAATTACGGGCGGGGTTCCCCTTCCAGCAGAGTAAAGTTAAACGCGCGTTTTGGGCCAATTACGGGCAGGCCGTGATTACGGCCGTAATTCTGCCCGTATTTCGCCCAGAGTCGGGTTTTTGAAGCCAGAATCGAGCCAAGGAAAGGGAATCGAATTTCTTGAGCAAAAATAGAGCCCTAGAGAGAGAAAGTACGAAGAACTCACCCTAGAAGCCATCTTGGAGCTGGGTTTCATCAAATCAAGCTTGGAGATCGTCCTAGGAGTGGAAATCATCATCCCGGAGCAGATTTTCCTCATCTTTATGAGTATGACTACTCCGATTACTGTTTTCTTCTCTCTCTTCTATGGAGTAGAACCTCTCTCTCACTTGGGGGTGAAGAACCCTAGTTCTATGTGTTAGGGATTGATTGTAATGACTTGGGATGATATTACTGTTTGATTTTAATCGAATGATGCATGTTTATTGAGTCAATTGAAGTCTGATCAACTTTTCCTGATTCCTGCTGCAATCTGAGATAGATAGAATCTGATTAGGTTGCTAGAGTCTTATCATTCGATAGTAGGAGATTGGCTATACGAGAGTTAGCCAGTTTACTGCTTTGTACTGGAATCCAATTCCAGTAGTGGATTTCTGTTCTTACTGCTTTAGCTTTCTATCCCGGTGAAGACTAGTCGTCTGCCGGGTAGTTAGACTGAGAGGGCTTGGTCAGCTTAAGAGATTCCAAGCTACTGTCGGATCTTCCGCAGTCTAATCAACAGTAAATCAACCCAGGGAAATACAATTGAAACCTAACTAAGGAGCTAGGGGGACTCATTCCCGAGTGACTCTTTCCTGCTTGAGAAAACTGACACGCCAAAACACAACACCAATCTGCGACCAAGTGTAATCGCAGACCGGGAATGCAGTAACAGGCAAGTTATATTATCAACCCGGGGTCTAGATCTACTGCTTACTCAGTGATTCTCTGTTATCTAGCCAACTAGAGTAAGTGATTGTTGTTTAAACTAAAAGCAGAAATAAAGCAGGAAATTATTCGGTTTTCTTAAGCAGGAAAGAGTCACTCGGGAATGAATCCCCCTAGCTCTTTAGTTAGGTTTCAATTGCAATTTACCCTGGGTTGATTTACTGTTGATTAGACTGCGGAAGATCCGGCAGTAGCTTGGAATCTCTTAAGCTGACCAAGCCCTCTCAGTCTAACTACCCGGCAGACGACTAGTCTTCACCGGGATAGAAAGCTGAAGCAGTAAGAACAGAAATTCACTACTGGAATTAGATTCCAGTACAAAGCAGTAAATTGATTGACTCTCGCACAACCAATTCACCACTATCAATCAAGGAAGCTCTCTTAACCTAATCAGATTCTATCTATCATAGGTTAAAGCAGAAATCAAGAGAATTTGATCAAGATTCAATTGACTCAATCAAGCATGTCTCAATCGATTAAAACCAAACAGTAATATCATCCCAAGTCATTACAATCAATCCCTAACACATAGAACTAGGGTTCTTCATCCCCAAGTGAGAGAAGGGTTCTACTCCATAGAGAGAGAAGAGAAAACAAGAATCGGATTAGTCATACTCATAACGATGAGGATAATCTGCTCCGGGACGATGATTTTCACTCCTATGACGATCTCCAGGCTCGATTCGATGAAATCCAGCTCTAAGACAGCTTCTAGGATGTGTTCTTCGTACTTTCTCTCTCTAGGGCTCTGTTTTTGCTCTGAAAACACTCTTCTCTCACTTCTGGCTCGGATTAGGCTTTAAAACCGGGTTTCCCGAGTTGCACGGCCAGGGTGCACGGCCGTGCACCTCACCATTCTGGCCGTGCACCATGAAACGCAGCGTATCCCTTAAGTCGAACTCAGGCTTCTTGCACGGCCAGGTGCACGGCCGTGCAATCTTCAGGGCCTGCCCGTGCAGCTCCTCGGCATGAGGCGCACGGCCAGCTTGCAACCGTGCACGGCCGTGCAGCCTCCCTGGTCTGCCCGTGCAGCTCCCCAAAAACCTCGCCATTCGTCCGTTCTTCGTCCAATCGACCCCAGACTCGCTCCTAAGCCTTCATTCACGTACTAGGACCTGAAATATCACAAACAAGCACAACCTAGCGTGAAATCGGCCTAAAACACGAGAATCAACACCTCAAACGGTGTAAGAACGGGGGTAAAAACATGTGTAAATGACGGTCTATCAAAAACCGAATAATTTCCTGCTTTATTTCTGCTTTTGCTTTTAAACAACAATCACATACTTTAGTTGGCTAGATAACAGAGAATCACTGAGTAAGCAGTAGATCTAGACCCCGGGTTGATAATATAACTTGCCTGTTACTGCATTCCCGGTCTGCGATTACACTTGGTCGTAGATTGGTGTTGTGTTTTGGCGTGTCAAGTTTTTGGCGTCTTTGCCGGGGAACCTCTAGGTTATTGGGGAAACGTGAGAATTTGTTACTCTAGCTTTTTATTTATTGCATTTTATCTCTTCCACCTGTGTGCCTTCACGGGTTGCTTCTGCTGATTGTGTGCAGGTAGTGCATGACCCGTAGCCAGCCGGGAGATCTACTACCACTAGACCGGGAGCTTGAACGAACCTGCAGAAACTTCAAGCGGGCTCTAAAGGCGCGACTGGCTGCGGAGGAGGCGCTATCACAGCTGCAGTTAGAAGAAGAGGAAGAAGAGATGGCTGATCCACAGGGCCATGCTGTGATCGATCCCGAGGAGCAGACCATGGGACATTATTGGACCGCCAGGGCTGCAGACATGAGGTCACCCATTCAACACCCTCATGTCCCAGCCAATAATTTTTAGGTGAGCACCTCAGTAATCACCATGCTGCGCGGTTCGGTGATGTTTCGTGGCAAAGAAGGGGAGTGCCCCCGATCACATCTCAGGCGATTCCACGAGCTCATTGATGGAATCAAGATCAATGGGGTACCCGCAGATGCCATCCAGCTGAGATACTTCCCATTCACCCTGGAGGGGCAAGCCAAGGAGTGGCTAGACACTCGACCTCCAGGCTCCATCACCACGTTCGCCAACCTGGCGGACAAGTTCCTCACCCGCTACCATCCTCCATCCAAGACAGCTGACTTGCAGAAGCAAATCACCCACTTCACCTAGGATGAAGATGAGACCATCAGGGATGCTTGGGAGAGATACACCAGTCTTTTCCTCAGGTGTCCCAATCATGGTTTCAATGATGCGTTCAAGGTGGGCACCTTCTATCACGCCCTTTTCCCGGAGGACAAGCAGCTTGATTCGGTTTGTGGCGGGAATATGCTGACCAAAACACCGCCACAGCTGAATCAACTCTTTGAGGAGATGGCGGAGAACGGGTATGATTGGGGCACTGCCAGGAGATCGAGACGAGCACCAGGCCGGGGTGTGCATGCTGTGGGCACCCAGTCATCTGATCTGGTGCAGGTGGTATCGAAGCTGGTCTCAGCTATCGATCGTTCTGGTTTGATTGCAGGTACAGGACAGCCGCAGGCGATGCACTGCCAGTGGTGTGAGAGCTCCCATCACACCGTAGAGGACTGCCAGGCGATGAGGGAATCGTCTACTCCCCAGGAGCAGGTGGACTTTATCAGTAATGCCAGGCGCTTCGACCCCTACAGCAACACTTATAACGAGGGGTGGCGCCAGCATCCTAACTTTTCCTGGGCTGGGGCAAATCCCAAACCACCAGCTCCCCAGGGACCACCTGGCTTCCAGAGGCCTCCGTACCAGCCCAGACAGGGGCAATTTCAGCAGCCACAGCAGCCACTCTACCAGCCCAGACAGGGGCCAGTTCCACCACGGTCACAGGTGCGACCATTTCAGCAGACAGGAGCAGCACCTGCAGCTCCAGTACAGAGTGACCCGATGGCGGAATTGAGAGATTTGGTGGGTTCTCTGGCCACCTCCAGT